CTTTGCTTGAATTTGAAAATGTAGCTGCTTTTGATAGTCGATATCGATTTGATGGCTAGGATCAGAAAAATTCAAACTGCTCTAATACTGATAACAAAGATCTACACGACCTTGCTTCTAAGAAAGAATTTTAAATCATTTTACACGCAGCGTTTTGGGTGTTGAGTGAAAAGTGTGCTTCAAAAGTTTTAATACTCGTTAATCAAGAAATATTATGGAGCATGATTTACAAATTACAGTAAAAAACTTGTGAAGTTGAGTTTTAGTTTGCGTTTAGTAAACTGAAGCCCCTTTTGAACTTGTTTATTGGTTACTGCCGCATGAGCTCAGTTCGGTGTTCTCTGTCCAAAAGTCTCCACTCTCTTCTACAGGGGCTCTTAAGATTCTAGATATAAATCACATTTGTTAGAAGCAGTAACCACAAAGCGAACTAGTTCAAGAATTTCGAGTAAACCGGTTTAAGATACTTACCACTAGCGAGTTTCAGAACCAAAAGAACCTTATAAATGCAATTTTTGACAAAAACATGATCTGGTGTGTTTTGCCAACTTGTTTGATCAGAGTCCTGGTAACAAGTCAATTACTGCTACGAGTGACGGTACTAGGGGACTTCGTTTCTAAACAGTACACAAACAACCGAGCTTAACGTTTAGCAATCGAGTATTTTACCTTTGTTTGCCATCTGCTGTTTCTTTTTGGAAAAAAATTATATGTAATAACCAGACATTAGGGTTAACGTCGTGAGGGCGAACTTCTGTGGCTGATCTTTGCCAGAGTTGCTAGCTTCAGGTGAACTTATTTTTTGTAAATAGTTTGATGCCAAACTTTTATATGGCTTGTGATGTTGTTGGAATTCAATTTAGTTATTTGCTTAGAGCGTTAGTATGGTTGAACTCTAATGATGTAGTAACAAATGCGCGAAGTATCTAACGACCAATCAGAGCTCAGTGTTCTAAAATTTGAACGAAATAAGTGATAAACTTATATATCAGTCCGTTTTGCAACATTTTAAGAGCGTTGATTGGTTGAGAATTTTGGCGAATTCGTTTCTTCGCGCATGAGAATAGCCCCCCCCCCTCCAGTTAGAGTAGTTCATATACAGTGTCACCACAACATGCTGATGTTTTCAACTTCACCACACACATCATACGCATCGATATTTTCACTTGGACTTGTCGACTTGTACGTTTACTTTCCTTGGAATTTAATGCGATTACAATGTATTATTTTTTGATTGCAACAAATCTCGCTAAAAAGTCCGGTCAAAATTCCAGGAGGCTCGTTCAAAATTTTTTGCAACCTTACAAATATGTGGCCAAACTTTTTCCGGCTCATAAGTTTTCATTCACTACTGAGCTAAACAACTGTTATAAGACCCCGGGAGAGTTTTATAGCAGTTGTGGATCTTCATTGAAGATTGGAATTCAGAAATTGCCTCATAGATGCTTTATACTAGCCTCGGCAAGGCTACAAATATGCGTTAACTGCTATGAGAGGTTGAATTGTTTTGAAATTGGTAACTATAAATCGTTGTCCCTAAAAAGCTATAAAGGGAGGGCGTAAAGTCGAGACCTTTTGAGATAGTAAACTGCCATATGGTTTTGAAGTGCGCTAATAATTAACTATCTAGTGCTCCCTTTTTTCAACTAGTACATCAAACGCGCGTAATTTAATGATGGATGAGAAACAAACCACTTGAAATTCCGTCTTACTATTGACAAAAACAAAATGAATGCTAGAAATTTACAAGACTGCTTGTATCAGGCCGACAATAAGTCAAAATTTATAAGTCGTTACTTATATGTCGAAATTATTCGGGAAAAAAAACCCGAGAACAAATATTCAGTCATTTTCTTCAAAATTCTCAATAATAAAAAGGTTTTTCATTCAAAATCGTGGTTTACTGTCGCTGTTTATGCAAGTTTTGAAATCCAGACAGATTATTACAAATCATTTTTTCTCTAGAAATTCCAAATAAAAAAAAATGTCAGAGAAAAATCCGAAAAAAGTTTTTCGTTATGATAATAACTGCTCAGCTGTTCCAAAGAAAAATTCTCAAATACTAATAAATAGAAAAAAAATGTCCTACATTTTTTTTCCAAACAAATTGGTCTGAAATAAAAATTTAGGGGCAAAGTTTAGGAAGTTGTATTTCGGTGTGTTTTAGTTTTTTTTCCACGCAAAATCAGATAGCACAAAAATAGAATGGGTCAATTTATGTATCATATTAAAGCCCTTTCATCCTGATTCCAACAACATCAGAAATTTTTTAAAATTTTGACAATTTTTTATCAGTGTGGAGAAAAACTGGTTTGAATTTTTTTTTATTTTTGCTCTTATTTCAAGCTAATAAGGTCAACGTGAATTCTTACAATTGCTTATTTAGGCCGGAAAAGTTAGTTTTACTCGGGCAAAGTAAGTTTTTGGAATTTTGTAGCGCCATATTGGGAAAAAAGTTTCAAAAATTTGGAGAGCATCTGCAAAAAAAAATAGAAAACATTTATGAAATTTAAAAAACTATATTTTTTTTCAGTTTTTTAGTCATTTTCTATTAAACTACTTTCCAATTGGCAAACTTGACTATTACTATCGAGTATGCATAATTTCTATTGTTTTGTTCAGATTTTGTTATCACACCACACAGAAAAAAACTACACTAATTTGAAAAAAAAAATTTTTTTTTTAAGACGTCTAGTTTTATTGTTGTTATACGTTATTATAGCTTAATGGCTAAATTATTATGGCGTAATGTGTGATGTTACGATTTACTGTATAATGAACAAACCTGTTCATAGTTTTTAGTTGATTCACTAACTTTCATTACAGTCTGACATTTTTAAAGTAGCTAACTTTCATTTCAATCTAACATTTTTACAATCTGACATTTTTCAGATAACATAAAAACTATGGCACCAATGGCTTGGTGAAAAAAAGATATGTTTCTAAGGAAAACCAAACCACACCGTTCACATAATCTTTGTCAATTTTAACGAATCATGGAACAAACGACTGCTCACCAAGGCTGGGTTACGCGAAAAGGCTTCCCTAGTTGATAAAGATAGGTTATCTTGCATGACCTTTTAAAGATTTTTATTAAGAAGATGCATCTCTTTTAAAGATCTGGCGAGACAATTTCCTTTAAAGATAACCTTAATTCTAGCAAGATCTTTAAAGACATGATTTTTTGTGTGAAAAAAAAAATTTACACAGGAAGACAAGTATTTTTACGAGTAGACATTTTACCTGGTGGCAAGTAGAAACATTTAAATACTTGAACAAATCAACATTAAATAGAAAAATATAACCGCATAATTAGATGAACATAAATATTTGTCGGATTTGTCGAACACAACATGTCGAACACAACATGCAAAATATCTCAAGCTAAACCACTCTATTCATCAAAATTTTGACAAAAAAATGAAATTTAACCGCTGCCAGATGAAAAATTTCAAAAAGTCCAAAAAAAATTGTTTTTAAAATTTTTAATTTGAAATGCATAAATTATAACGACAACCTGAAACTATTTACATTACGAAACTTGAAAAATCAAAATATAAATGAACACTATCAAAATACGCTTAGCCTAATTTTTTTGAGCTTTAACTCAGAATTCTTCGTGACTGTAGTCAAATTGGATCTCCGTAGTTTTTCTGGCGCTCAATTAAGGTTTTGTGAATAATTGTTTTTGAGTTAATCAGTCAATTCTCTTTGGTTCATTTTTTCAACATTTTGTTTCGTTTATTTGCTTGTGAATAATTTCATAATTAGTTATCTTGCAAGATCTTGCAAAAATCTTGCAAGATTCTTGCAAGATAACCTCATTCTAGCAAAGTCTTTCATAATAACCTCACTCTTTGAAGATCCTGTAAGGTAACCTCCATCTTGCAAGATCTTGCAAGATAACTCTTATTTGCAAGAATCTTGCAAGATCTCACAATACAACCCTCCTTGATCGACTAGGGTTTATATTGTGAAATCCGCATCAAGGTATTTTTCTTAGTTTTCTTAGCTTTTTATGCTTTTAATAAAGCTAGAGGCATAAAATTGAAACATGATGAAGCTACAAATTTTAGCTCAATGCTTTGCTCTTTTTGCTAGTTTCTTTTGATCTTTTCACTCTTTGCATATTTTGCGAAACATTTTATGTGTTGACAAAAATTACTTCGCAAGGTAGCTGTTCATGAATTCTGGATTCAATTTATAATTTTTAACTTGCTAAAAGGTTTGTCAACGAGCTCACCAGATCTTCACTCAAAAATTTGTGCGCCTTAGAAACACACAATTTGGCCTCGTAATGTCACCGAGTGATTTTAGTTTTGCTCAATCACAGCTCCTCCTTGAACTATAGGCACATTGATTATAGTATTTCAGATCACGCTGACTATTTTAAACATATAGAACAGCCTTATTTTTTTTGTGACCGGATGCAAGCTTTTTATCTTTCTATAGACCCTTATCAATTGTTTTCATATGAATCACCTATGTTTTCGTTAATCATTGGAGCCAGGGACGAATTTAGGGGGACGTCCCCTTTCCGCTCAGAATTCGAACCCCTTTCTTGCCATAAAGTCCTCCACTTGATACTATTTAATGGCCAATTCTACATCAACCAACTCCAAAATTTTAAGGCACTGTGAACACTATATACTAATTCTGAATGATGAATATTAATTTCGGATGATCAAAAAAAAATCTGAATATTCTGGTCGAATCGTTCTAAAAAGGTTCATTTTTGACCTTTTTGTAAAACAAATTCTTTACTAGTGCCAAGATCTTGTGGTGCAAAAAATTGCGCTAAATAGATTGCTTATCTTTTTTAAGAAAAAAATTGAAAACAAAGTTATCGACCTTACAAGGACAAAAAAATCTGAAACACCTTAACCCCCCCCCCCTGCTCTTCCTTAGGATAGCCCTAAATCCATCCCTGTGCGGAGTTTTAAAATATACGTATTGTAAAATTAGTTGCGAGAGGAGTTGACAATTCGTTGTGGGTTTAGGAAATGTTTAAGAATTGTGGTGGCGACTGTGAGGCGTATTGGCTGATGCTGGTGTTCCTCTGCTGCGGATACTTCACCTCGCTCGCCCTTCTAGTGTTTCTAGCTAACATGGTCAACAAAATCAAACACCTGCAGAGACACATTGCCATGGTCAAATAACCTAATAACCTACCAAAAAATGAAGAAACAGCGCCTGGCAATAGTAATCATAATAGTTGGGTTCCAGGAAACAGCAAGTATGAATGATGGGTTCCGCAATGTTTGTGAAGCATCAAACATTCAAATAAAAAAGTGATACTTGTTTTTGGAGATTTTAGGGCGTAAAAGTTTTCTTCAGGGACACATCTAGTTAAAACAGCCCAACTATCATGATTGTAACTAGTGCTTTTTTATGATACTTGTTAGTTAATGATTTGTTTGTAAGTTGTTGATTTTCAATTTCTGTGAAAAAAAAAAATTGGTTTTGGCAATCTGTTGATAACCACAATAAATGGAAAAACCAGATGAAAAAAAAAACATTCTTGAAAGTCAGCTTATAAATATTTGTAAAATATTTAAAAGCTTTTGTAACTGAGAGAAATTGAGCGTTTATAATCAATTGAAGCTATAGATATAAAAACGTTTTCCGTTATATTAAATCTCCTAAAAACAGTCAGATTCAAAAAATATTTCTTCAGAATGAGTTGAATTAATCATAGAAGTAAAATGATTATTTTTTCGTAAGAATCAAACCAAAATTACATATAGCGTATCACTGACTTTTCAATTATGAAGACAATTTTGTGAAACTAATTTTACTCAGTTTCAGTTTTGCTATCAAAGATATCGTAGGAATATAATAAAAAACTTAACTTCATATTTTAGCTATAATCGTTTTAACCTAAAAAGTTTGGATATTTGCATTTGAATTTGAATCTTTTACTAACTAAATTTAACGGGAGCTATTATCATGCGCAAAGGACCGAATGAGCAAAAAACTCGTGAGCGGAAAACCGAAAAGAAAATTAGCCGAAAGTCAATTTTTAAAAATAAGCAACTGCCATTCAATTAAGATGAATTAAATGAAGCTATATTTTGCTTCTTTCATAACGAAACCCTTGAAAAATAAAATTTGTTCCAATCGGCGGCGGTCAGTGACAATTTGAACATTATGCATATTTCTGCCGTTTTTATATTCGGTCAAAATCAATATTCAGCGCTTGGAAATGTTTAATTTCTTTCCAAATTTTAGATCACTGAAATCTGATTGGCTGATTTTTGTTTTCGCGCATTCGGTCCTTCGCGTATGAGGGATTCCACCAAATTTAACAACAGCAGACATAAATTGTAAGTTGAACAAGGAAACGTAATTTAATAAAAAAGACTATCGAAATGCTCGTGCAGTGTCTCGTTGTTCAAACTCAATTTCTATCAGTCTTGAACTATTTCTACAATTCAGTTCTAGTCTTGTCTGTTGAGCTGGTAATTGATCCGACTTTCGATTCGAAAGTAACGGAATATTTGTGCTCGGGGTGGGTTTTTTCTTCAGACAAATTTCGACTTTTTAACTAGCCATTTTTGACAGATTTTTTTTATATCATTCGAAAGCTATTGTTGCCTTGAGCTTAAATTTGAAAAGATACTTCACCTGTGATTATTTTTTGTAAAATTATGGGGGTTTAAAGATTGCCATTTAAAAAAATCCTTGTAATTAATAATTTCTCATTCAAAATAAATAAGTTTTCAGTTCTGGCTTTATTGCTTTTTTGTACAAAGTTCAGGGATACATAAGTTTTCCTTCGAAAATTTTTATTGACCGAAAATAACGAAAACATCCAGCTTCAACGCTAAGAACCACAAAAACATAGAATGGGCCTTCATTGTTCCCGATCAGGTAAAAAAATCTCCACACTTCAGGCAATAACGGCTCTATCAAGTATGAAATTGTAATTTTTTCATGCACATAACAACAACGAATGGGAAAGAGCTCTTAAAGTTTTCTAAAACTAAATAATAAAATACAAAAAACAAGTTCAGTTTTTCTGGTTTTTCTCAATTTTTGCTAAATTTTGAATAATTCTATCAGTTTATTCGACTGTTTATTCAAACATTAACAAAGCAAACTAATTGCTTGAACAGACGTTCTTTTCATTTCGACTGAAAGCGTAGAGTGTTTTGAAATTTTTCTGAATTTCCAAGTTTTTGAGAAAAAAAAACAAAAAAACTTGCCTCTTGTCAAATTCTATTAAAAAACAAAACGCTTTGTAAAGACTAAAAACAGTTCATTTTTTGGTTGCATTATATTTTCTCCTTTTTTCATTAGTCAGTGAGAATTTGGTGAAACCATAACAAGGTTTCGGTACAAATGTGATCGCCAACTAAGATGTGTTTTTTCTTATTAGATTCGTTCCTTTTGCTAAATTTTTGCAATACCTAACCATTAAATTTTGGAAAAACTTGTTTTATTTTTTTTTGTATGTATTCGAATATGTGTCAAGTAATTCAAATAGTGCAATATTTGTGTTCAAAAATGACGTTTTTTAATAAAATTTGATTGATTGCATTGTTGCCAAGAACCTCCCTACTGAACAAACTTTTTTTTATGTAAGCCTAAAGTTTGTTGAGATAACTTTGTAAAATAGGTCACAATTTTTTTTTCAGATTAAAAGGCATTATTTAAAAAAGTGATCAGTTACTACTGAAATAACGAAAAAAAGATACAAAATGGGGAAAAAATTTAAAATTGCATTTCCATTTTCGAATTTTTGCCTTCAACTCTATAAAAGAAGAAAAAATAGTTGATGTACTTGTTAATCTTAGTTGTAAGCTGCTGTTTTAAAACGTTAGAACACCAATGTTTTCTGGTTTAGCTTGAAATTTAATTGTCGAGAAATTCAGAACAGATATTTGAAAAAAAATCTAAAATCAGTTTTTACTGAGGAAAAACTAATTCTCAATAGGTTGAGGAGGAATGAAAAAAATTTCCTTGGATGGCTAGTACGAGTAATCAAAATCATAATATCTAGTATTCAGTGTGAAGTTGAGACTACAAAAACAAAACCACAAGTAAACAAGAAAAATGCATTTGTAAGCCCAACTCTCTTGCTTTTGTCTTAATGAAAGAAGATAGTACTGTCGGCGTATTTGAAAACGTATTTGGAAAATTCATCGGCTCTGTTTCTAACCGCATAGCGTGCGCTGCTTCGGCGGAAGATCGAAAGTCTGATAAGTTTGAAGATTTTTGTTTTGATATTTTTTGAACACTAGTTTTTAAGGTTCAGGGTGGCTTCGGCCTTAGTGGTTAAGTATGTTACATGTATTCCAAATAGGTAGTTTTTTCAAGTAGAGAATCTCCATCGCGATGTACGTTTGAAAAACATAGGCTATGTTTCTAACCCCATAAACGGCCGCTCGGACTAAAATTATGTACCACAAATTAAACAATTTTTTCTTACTGGCTTAGTTTTGTTCAAGGTTTTCTAATATGCAGTCATTGACACCATTGAACAAATTTACCTGGTAGATTTTTTTTATTATTTTTTTGTTTTTTACTCTCTCAGCTATCAGCCATTGTTTAAAATTGTGTGATCACCAAAAACTTTGGCGATTATGCTTGGTCCTATCTATTCGCTATGAACTCGGTTGGTTTTTGAGACGCCTAGAACCAATCCCTGTTTTGCAAAGTTTTATCCAATGCTTTCATCTCTGCGCTTGGTAGTTATCTGTTATGGATCTGAGCTCGGAGTAGTTGCATTTTGCCGACTAAAACTGTGTGGTTAGATCACATTTTTGTTGCAATTGTCGAATGGTTCTCCTTCTGTAACTCTTTAGGCGTCAAATATTGGGCCTTCCAGGGGGCCGTGCGGCCGGAGGCTATCAAAAATAATGAAAACAATATCAGAATAATACACGGCTAAGCAGGATTACAGAATAACTTCAAACTTTATAGTATTAAAACTCAAAATTGCCACGACATTAGACCGTCCTCTTGCGATATTTTCAATGAGTCAGCAATCCAAAAGATCGTTAAAAACAACTAGAAGGAACCGAGAGTTTAAAAGCAATGACCTCTGCTCTTTATTAATCATTTTCTCAGATTCAGCAACTAACTCTCTAGCATCAGTGTGCCTCTGGCCGTAGTGGTTGAACTTGTTACAAGGTTTCCAGGGCAGGGAGCTTTCCTAAACAGAGAAACTTTCTCGCAATATAGATAGAAAAATTTTAGGCTCTGTTTCTAGCCCCGCAACGGCCACTGCCGAGGGGAGAAAAAATTCAGACTGATAAAGATTTAAAGATTTAAATTAGACATTCTTAAAGTAGAGATTGAAGGCAGATTCGTTAGAATAATAAATATTTGAAACATTCACAGATTAGTTATCGTGTAAGCAAGATTACTTGACAATTTCAAAAATTCGAATATTCAAATTCTCAATTATTACAACAAAAAATTTTCCCTCTGCTATATTTTTCAATAATTCAAAAATTCAAAAGAATCAAAAGGAACCGACAATTTATAAGCAATGGCCTCTGCTTTGTGAAGTAAAAGTTATTTGTTATTTATTCAGCCAATGGCTTGTAAAAAAAATCAGTATGCCTGCTGCCGTACTCTTTTAATTTGTTACAAGCATTACAAGGCAAGTAATTTTCCTAAGCAGAGAATCTTTCTCGCAATATAGATAGAAGAATTGTAACCCTGTAACGGCCGCAGACGGATAAAATTAAAGATTTAAATTAGATATTCTTAAAGTGTAGATTTAAGGCAGACTTGTTACAATAACGGAGGGCAGATAGTCTTCTTTAGCATAGAATCTTCCTCGAAAAACAGATTGCAAAATTTGCTTGCCTGCTCGACCCTGCTATCGATAAAAACTAATTCGAAGAAGTTTTCATTCATACGGTCAAGAGAACGTGCGTAATCGCATCCTATAATAAGTTTTTGAATGACGGTTTTGTAGCAAACACTAGACAAGACATAAAGTAGAGACGTCATAAATTAGACAACATCTATATTGAACAATCTCAACCAAGATCAAGAAGCAAACTAAAAAATTACAAAATTATTTCTTACTTATTTCTTGAGTTTGCTTTCTGATCTCAATTTTGACTGGTTTTTCTCTGTTTTTTGACCAGTTTCAAAAAAATATTGTATGTTTTTTGACCGTAACTATAAAATACATGTTGCTTTATACCAGGTCAAATGTTTTGAGCTATTTTTTCCCATGTATGCTGTGCAAGTAGTAGTTTTCTCACTA